TGGGGGCTTCCTCGCAACCCTTAGCACCTATAACAGGTGGCAGTTCCCATAATTCTTTGGTGGGGAAGCCATGGCTGTTTAAAGTGGCTTTAAGAGTATGGCCTTAAGTATGGCCTTAATGTGACTCTTCTAGGCCACCTGCAAAAGACTTTGTGCATTTGCAGGCCACCTCCTTCAGGGCTGTTGTTGAAAAACAACCCCTCCCTTCCCATCAGCTTGGTCAGAGTGAAACTCTGGCTTCCTGTGGGTGATCTAGGTTTTCTCGGGTGAAGAAACAGCAACTGGTAGCAGATATCCCCACCCGCCAACTCACAGGTCCACTGCTGTGAAATCTAAACTGTAATTTTGCACGATAAATCTTTCATTTGCTTCTTTGTTTCAGAAGGAGGGCAGCAGCCTTGTTCTCTCTTCAACTCCCCGAGCTCATTTTCATCTATAAAAAGGTTCACCCAACAAGGATTCTCTCACCATGCACACACAGACACACACAGTCTCGAAAGCCATTTTAAAAACCAGAAAAACCAGCAACGGTGCGTAGCAAAATAATGCAATATGTTACAACAAAATGTAGGGAAGGTGTCCATCTTAAGTGGGTCTCAAAGGAGACAGGAACATCATTGCAGCCTGGTTAGATTGGTTAGATCATTTTTATTTTTGTGTTTATGTGTTTGTGTAAAAAAACAAAACAGCTTTGAGTAAAAGGTGCTGCCAATTTATTGGAGTAGCAGATTTTTTAAAAACTATTTTAATACAAGGACTCAGAGCCAACCACCCACAGGTATGGTTTTTTTTTAAAATAAAAAAAACAACAACTCAGAGGCCTTCTGCTTTATTTCTCACATAGGAAAGCAAAGGCCTCTCATATCTCGCTGCTAGGAGACATGCAACACAATATCTAAAATGGGCTGGAGAAACTGGGCTGGATGAGACAATCTATCTATTACTGTTCTCTCCAACCTTATGTCTACTTTTTCACATTTCCACATCAGTCTGTGTCTCCCCGCCCCTTAAAAAGAAGTCCTCATGAAAAACCATCAATACTCTAGTGCAAATTGCTACTAATCAACACATGCAGGTATTCCATTTTGCCTAATATACACTTTTGTTTTGGGCAAAGCAGTGTTCCCTGCTATACAGCATGTTGCTTTTTTCGCACAGACATATGCATTTATAGGCACACTTTATACCCCAGTATATGCATTTTTTGTATGCGTTACTTGGCTGGAGAACAGCATTACGAAATTCAGAGAAATGCGAAGTTTGAAGGACAGCTGTTTGGAAAGTGCAGATTTGGTAGTTTTGGCTTGAAATGTGAACTGGACTGAATTTCTCCCCCAAAGCTACCTGTGGCTTAGCAGAGGTTACTGGATTCCAACTCCCATCATCCCCAGCCAGCAAAGCCAATGGTCAATGATGATGGGATTGGAGTCCAGCAACATTTGGAAGGCCACAGGTTTCCTTACCCTAGCAGCAGCAGCAACAACAACAACAATTATAAGTTGCCCATCTGACTGGGTTGCCCCAGAATGTTTTCTTTCTATTCACCTGTAAAGGTAAAGGGACCCCTGACCATTAGGTCCAGTCATGGCCGACTCTGGGGTTGCGGTGCTCATCTTGCTTTACTGGCCGAGGGAGCCGGCGTACAGCTTCCGGGTCATGTGGCCAGCATGACTAAGCTGCTTCTGGCAAACCAGAGCAACGCACGAAAACGCCGTTTACCTTCCCGCTGGAGAGGTACCTATTTATCTACTTGCACTTTGACGTACTTTTGAACTGCTAGGTTGGCAGGAGCAGGGACCGAGCAACGGGAGCTCACCCCGTCGCGGGGATTTGAACCACCAACCTTCTGATCAGCAAGTCCTAGGCTCTGTGGTTTAACCCACAGCACCACCCTGTACTCTGTCTTAACTAATTTAAGACTGCAGTCCTACACACACACACACACACACACACACACACAGCCACTGGGAGTTCACTCGACTGAATATTATGGGATGGCTTTCTGAGTAAACATCTGTAGGGGATACTCTTCAACAATGCAATCCTATAGATGCTTCCTTTGAAGTAAGCACAGAATTTAATTGAGATTTACACCGGGCAGGATTTCATCCCTATTAAGAGTTTTGAAAACTGGGTGGCCACCCTACCTTTGGGCATCGTTAATGTTCACTCCTCTAGTCATGAGTAGGTGAGAAAAAAAGACTGTCTAGGGCATTAAAGCCTTGCTTTCTGTACCCTTGGAAATCCTATCCATTGCTTCCGAATATCAAGCTTGCGAGATGGCTGCTTTCAGTTCTTCCCATATTTTTCATTCATATCCCATTGCTTCTATGAACTATGGATCTTAAAACAAGAACAACTCTCAAATCTTGATTTTATTTTTAGGATGATGAATTGAGGACCCATCCCCATTTCCTGCCCTTGTAGGTGTGGTGTCGGAATACACACCACGGGGCCTGCTTTTCAGCCAAAAAATGCAGGAAATGAGGGATATCTTACCAATAAAAGTAACAAGAAGAACAATCTGCTTAACATTATCTCCCTCCCACCCCTCATCTTTTCCAGGATTGACAAAACCATGCTTGCAAGCCTGAAGATCAAGTGAGTAATTGATTATTTTATCTAATTCATTCTTTACACTGCTTTGTTGCCATCCCATGTGATAATAAGTTTTCTGGGAGGCTTATGATGGCCTCTTTCCTACAAGGCGTGCTTCTCTTTCTTCTTCGATATGCTTGCAAAGCTGGTAAACAGCGGGTGATCTTATGTTCTTGGACTTGATGGAAGCTTTATATAAGTGGTCCCAGTGAAAGAGCTGGCTGGTTGTGGTTCGAGGACCCGATCCCCGCGTAGTGGAATGAAAACACGAGGACACGTGATATAAGGTTAATGGGCAAGAAAAGGCCACAACTTTATTGATTACAGCAAGTGAAAAGGTATTGGCTTAGGCATTGGATTACGTCAGCTGACTCCACCCCCTCAGAGAGGGGTGAGTCTAAAACAGGGGGGTTTATTCACCAGTAGGTGGAGCCTGTTGATGCTAATCCAACTGTAAGCTATCACCAAGGGTTGTGCCATGGCCTCCCGTCAAGCAGGCATCGGACAGAATACATGACCGCCAGATTCCTTTAACGGAATACCCAAAAATTGAAGGCATAGGCGATGGCCACACCTAGCCCTTCGACACACCACAACACATTATTCCAATGCCTAACCTACCCACCAATACCACAAAAGTTGTGACGATTGCTACGAGGTAGGCGAAAAAACCAAAAAGCCTAATGCCAAATCGAAAAATTCCTACCAGGCCCCCCGGACAACCAGGGCGACCAACCTAAGGTCCATAGCAAGGCCAAAAGAAAACTGAGACCCTGAGCTCTAAGGGAGTGGAGCGTGGGTGACTCGCGACGGGACGACGAAAAGTGAGGCCCGAAGGCTGGTGCTGCAGCAATTTGGGCTGCTAAACACGCCCCCTCGCAGTGGGAGGCAGGGGGCTAACGCCCCCTGCTTGAAGCAGAGTCCGGCTCCCGACCACAACCACTCCCCTCTCTTGCAGGAGGAGAGTCTTTGTTACTCATTCGGTTGTGTCTTCCTTTCTTTTGTCTTTGTTTATATATAAAAACCAACCGAAATGAAATTGGAGGGGCGGGACAGTTGTAAGGAGGCAGCTCTTTCCGTTCCAACCTGTATTCCTTACAATCACTGCTCCATCCATTCCAGTTCAGTGTCTACCAAATACTATGTTATTTGCTTTGCTGTCTGCTCTTCAACGCAAGTTGAAGAGTTAACTATTTAACGTAATTTAAGTTCATTTCGATGTGAAGGAAATGTCAGAACAATGGGAAATCAACAACACTGGTTTTCATTTCTGACCACAGATTCACACGCGAACGGCAGCAATTTCGTTTTCCATTTTCACTGGAATTCTCAGACATCTCTAGCTGCTATTTGCCCAAGGAAGTGAACTGTCACTAGTGCTTTCAACAATGTCTTTGATAGACCCAAAGTAGCTCAGGGAAGCGCTATAGCTCAGGTGTAGAACATCTCCTTTGTATGCAGAAGGTCCCAGGGTCAACGGCCTACATCTCCAAGGGGAGCTGGGAAGGTCTCTTGTCCGAAACAATGGAAAACCATTGGCAAACAAGGTTCCTAGCTCCAAGGGTGGAATTTGGGAGCATGATTTTCCTTGGAGCCATTTTGCATGTGTGTGTGATGGCCAAATCCCCTTTAAGTATCAGGCTAAAGGTCCAGCACCCTATTCTCACAGCGGCCAACCAGATGCCGTCTGGGAAGCCCACAAAGAGGACCTCAGCGCAGCAGTGTTCAAGTTGGCTTGGCTGGCTTTAAAAGAGGGTTTAGAAAGGCAAGTTTGTGGACAATAATGGTCAGTAGCCACAATGGCAATTTTTTCCTTCCACTGTCAGAGGCAGCGAGGTGCTGGATCGGCAGGGGAGGAGAGTGTTGCTGTGCACAGGACCTGCTCGCAGTCCTCCCCCTCTCCAGTTTCATTTCTGGTTGGCCACTGTGAGAGCAGAGTCTTGGACTAGATGGGCCTCTGGCCTGATCCAGCAGAGCTCTTCTGGCGTTCTTATGGCAGAGTCACTTCTGATAGGGCAGGGTCAAGGTAGCAGGCTGATTAGGATCAGTGAAGGCAAAAAGCATGGTCTTTCAGGACCCTGGACAGATCATCAGCACAGGTGATGACTGGAACACATTCCGGGAGATGTCTACTGAAATCTGGCTGGTCTGGACCTGCCGTTAACATGCCCCCATCCTGAGGAGCTCTTGGTCGGCTATTGCTTGATTTTGCACCCGTTGACTTCTATGGCTTTGGGGTGGTGAGGACTGCATCCTGGGCTGCCCTCAGTGTCTGATGAGTTGGGTAAAGCTGCATCCTTTGGCCTGGAAGGTCTTGAAATTGGAGACAACCCCTCTCCAGATGCTGCCTCCTCTGAGCCACAGGGAGGATTGAGGCCAGAGAACATGAGTCTGGATGGAAGGGTGGTGTAGCTTAGTGGTTAGAGCATCTGCTTTGCATGCAGAGGGTCCCAGGTTCAATCCCTGGTTGCATCTCAAGGTAGGGCTGGGAAAGGCTCCCTGTCTGGAAACCCTGCACAATCACTGCCAATCAGTGTTAACAATAACGAGTTAGATGGACCGCTGAGACAGACTCTGTATAAGGCAGCTTCCTATGTAGACCTGGGAAGGGGAAACTGCTTTCGCCATGGACCAAATGCATCTTCTCCTTGTAGCCATAGAAGCTGCCAGCTCCTGGCAACTCCAAGCGGGGAAGGGGAAACCAGAATGCTGCCTTCTGCCCCTGTTTTGTTTTCATTTCTGCCGCTGCACTATTTTTAATCTTGGTACGCCTGGTTATTTCTCTCTCCACCCTCCACCTCCTGCAGCCCCCTTCCGAAGGCCGAGGTGATTCATGTTCTGAACAATTATATCCAATTCAGCCCTTTTCTGTTTGAAGTGAGGCTTGGGCAGTAGGCTGTAGGAATCATACAGTTTTCGCTTTGTGGGAACAAGAAAGGAACACTCTCGAACAGAGGTTCTGGAAACCTGGTCCGTGGAACAGCTTCATTCAGGACCACGACATCTAGCATAGCGTATTAGAATTGCCAAGCAACCAGCAGAAAAATCATTGATCGGTACTCCAGGACTCTCAGCAATTCTCAAGTGGTCTGGGGGTGTGTGTGGTGGTGGTGGAGTTTGACCTAGCAGCCTTTCACAAAGAGGACTGTCCTCTGCAAAGCAGAACACACCTAGAGAGCATTTCCCAACCCCCTGTTGCAGCAATTCATTTCATTAATTTCTGCATCGAGGTAGACCACCCTTTCCCAACCAGGTCCCTTCCTGACATTGTTAAGACTCCCATGAGCTACAGCCACAATGGCCGTTGCGCAGGGATGATGGGAGCTGTAGTCCAAGGATATCTGGAGGTCCTGGGGTTGTAGAAGGTTGAGTTTGACTTTGTCTGGTTCTGCGACCCCAAATATCCCCAGCTGTTAGTACCTGGGCTGGTTGCACTGGCACCAACTCTATAGGGTGAAGGCGTCTTGGGTCCCATCAGTGTTGATGGGATGGAGGAGCCAAGTGCAGGGTGGCTTCAGTGGCCGTCTCCTTCTGAGCGCAAGAGAGGAGGAGCCTCTGGCTATTGAAGCCATGGGCTCTGTGCTCAGCATCCTCCCAATGATGTGATGTCTTGCGCACAGTGCGCAATGCGCACATGACATCACATGTGTATTAGGATAAAACTTATGCATATCTCTTTACTAATGTATGGAAGTGTAACAATATCCCCCTTTTTTCATTCTCACTCACTCTTTTTCTTTTGCCACTCTATCTTTCTATAAATGAAATTCTTCTAATAAAACAACAACACATGCTGTTGGGTGCAAGTCAGCGCCTCCACCTGCTTGCTTCCCCTGCCTGTTCTACATCCAGTGATGGATCTCTGAGCCTCCGGATCTTGTTGGGCTACAGCTATGGCCAAACGTTCAGAGATGATGGGAATGAGTCCAGCAACGTCCAGAGAGCTACAGCTTTCCCCTCCACCATCTAGTCGATTGCCATCGATGTCCTGTCAACCGTTTCTTTATGATCTCCCCGCACAGCGCTTGACGCTTTGGTTCTCCAAGAACAATATTTGCCCTCTGTGTGACAGTTTGACAGACTGGCAGCTCTTCCTCATTAAGCTGACGCACAGGCTGGCAACGCTGTCTGATGCCTCCTGCGATTCCTGCGTCGAGATTGGTTTCGTCACATCCTGGATGAGTCAATGAACAAAAAAGCAATAACATTCCTGGCTTGGGGCTATTGCTCCATGTCGTTTCTCTCAATCAGAGCCCTTGCTTTTTTTTCCTTTAAAGAGCTATGTTGTTCTCTTGGGCCATTTGAATTTGAAAACAATTTCCATCTGCCACCCCCGCTGATGACGGCTTTACTTGTATTTATGGTCGGAGCAGGGAAGGATGTGTTTGAGAGATGCTTTCCGCTAAGTCAAGCTATTTTGCAATCTATCTCAGTGTTGTCTTCCTCTGACCGGCTTCACCTAAAGAGCCAGTGTGGTGTAGTGGTTAAGAGCGGTGAACTCGTAATCTGGTGAACCGGGTTCGCGTCTCTGCTCCTCCACATGCAGCTGCTGGGTGACCTTGGGCCAGTCACACTTCTCTGAAGTCTCTCAGCCCCACTCACCTCACAGAGTGTTTGTTGTGGGGGAGGAAGGGAAAGGAGAATGTTAGCCGCTTTGAGACTCCTTAAAGGGAGTGAAAGGCAGGATATCAAATCCAAACTTTTCTTCTTCTCTTCTAAATACCTGGTTTTTTTAACTAGAGATGCCAGCAAACTGGACCTTGAAATTCAACTGGCTGCTTTTCAAGAGCCATTGATGCAATTAACATGGTGCCTAGATTGTCCCGAACCTACAGGCCAATCAGTGAGTCCCATTCATGAAGTTCTTTCTTTTTTCTGTCCTACTACAGAGCCTGTCCTAAATCTACTGTGGGGAAGGGGTGTAGCTCACTAGCACAGCATCTCCTTTGCAGGTTCCAGGTTCAAACCTCAACATCTCCAGGCAGGGCTGGGAGAGATTTCCTGCCTGCCCCAAACCTGGGTCAATACTAAAGTAGATGGGCCAATGGTAAAAGACACCTGCCTATGTTTCCTAGGTGATGTGTTCAAGTTTATTATTGTCTGATAGATTAGCACAGATGAAGTCAGGTGCTGAGGAAAAGAACCAAGCAGAGGCTAGGTACGACTTTTCTTTTCTTTAAAGGAGTTCCTATTTCATGCTGGCAGTTCTATTATAAGGCAACTTCCCATTTTTTTCACTGGGTGATGGCAAAATCTAGAATCATGAGAGCAGGGAAAATAAATCCATTTCACGGGGTGACTGCAATCTGTAGAAACATGAGACAGGGAAATGTCTCAATTCTGCCCCCATGCTCAATTCAAAAACCTCTATCACAAAGGAGATAGAGAACTGGTGGGCCTCTTGGTTTTGCTGGACTACAACTCCCATCACCCTTGCCCTTTGACCTATACAGTGTGTGGCTGCTGGGAGTTGCAGTCCAAGAATATCTGATGTTCTCCATCCCGGGACTACAAGTTTAACAGCAGCTTCTTAGGTTTGTTTTGTTGTTGTTTTGTGTGGGCAACTGGATTGGAGACACTATAAGGCAAAAATCTGCATCACAAGTTTAAAGCACGGCTAAAATGGCCGCTGTTTCTTTAATGTGAATAAAGCTGGGTCAGCATGACTCAGCGGTCTGCACCAAATTGTATATATAAGTGAGAAATGTTAGTTTGTTGCTGAGGCTGGTGTTTGGTGCTGGTGTGTATAGTTATTCAGTCGTGTTTTGCACAAAGACTTTTAAGAATAAAACTCTGCAAGGATATTCTCGTGGACTCTTTTTGTGCCGACAAGGGTCCGAGGACCAGGCTGAAGAGGCAAAGGGAGGTCAGAACCTTTTCCTCCTTTTTTTTTTTTGCTTTTTACAAACACTGACAGGTTATGGGCCCAGTGTTTCTGAGCATGTGCAGAGTGCAAAATGACTGACGGCATCTCAGCAGGGAGCTGGTGAGTCCTGGTGGTGTATGGAGCCGGTGGCTGTGCGTTGGAGCAGTTGGTGGCAAGCTGTAACTGTCTGCAGCGACGCTGGAGTGGCTAGGATCTGAGGACCAGAAAAGCACTCAGCGTCGGCTACTGGAACAGTTTGAACTGCTAGAGGACCACAGTAGGCGACTCACAGAGCGGCTACACCAGTTGCAGAGCCAGGCGGGACCTGAGGGTCAACAGAGGCAGCAGCTAGAAGCCGTTTGCCTGAAAGCTGGTTGCCCGTGATTAACAGCATGGAGAGTATGCGTCCCCCAGATATGACCCTTGAGTATGTGGTTTGGAAGATTGACCGAAGAAGCAGAAAGAAGGTCAGATAAACAGGCTGAACTCCAAGAGCGGAGGAGTTACAGTCGAGGGGGCCAGCAGCAGAATCTGCCAATGGAGCAACGCCAAGGTTTGGACTTGGCCATGGCAGTGAGGAGATGCTATAGATGCAACCAACCCGGGCATCTCCAACGTCAATGCAGGGCAAGACTTCCAGGAGACGACGTGGAGCAGAGACAGCAATCAACGCAGAAACGTAAGCAGAAGGGGTTCTCTTCAGAGAAGAAGAACACGCGTTCTGCTCAGTTTGTTTCTGCATTTTCTCGAGAGGAGAGGAAGATACCTCGAGGAACATGGTTGCTGGACTCTGGGAGCAGCAGGATAATCTGCAACAGTCGGGAGGACTTTAAGACCCTGGGGAAGCCAGCTGATGAAAAAGACTCAATTTATCTTGCTGATGGTCGTAGAAGCAAGATTGATGGCCAGGGAACATGTTTCCTGCAGTGCTTGAACACTACTCTACCAGAGACTCTGTTTGTCAGCAGTTTGGACTATTGTTTGCTGTCTGTAAGCTGTTTGATTAATGCAGGGTATAGTGTTAACTTCACATGGGATGGCTGTCTGATAAAGAATGGAACTCAGGTATGTGGCCGTGCAAAGTTGGAAAATGGGTTATATGTAATGCAGGACAAGCCTGTTAAAGCAGCCCAGGTGGTTCAGGATAATTTGCCAGTTCATAAGGGGTGTGTACATGAACTGCACAGAAAACTGGGTCACGCCAATTTCCGTGTGCTTTCAGAGATGCAAAAGGTGTGCAAGAACCTAAAAGTAAACAGCTGTAACTGTTTCCTAGATTGCAATGTATGTAAAATGGCAAAATCTAAGAGGAAGCCTGTGGCTTCTAAAAGTGACAGAGTATCTAAAGAGGTTTTAGAACTTGTCCATTGTGACGTGATAGGCCCTTTTCCACAGAAGACTGAAGGGGGCGCCAGATATGCTTTTCTGGTAATTGATGATAAATCACGTTTTAGTTGGTTGTTTTTGTTAAAGCAGAAATCTGAGTGTTTCCCCACATTCAGAGAATGGGTTGCCCAAGCTGAAAAGCTCTTCGCTCGCCCTGTTGTGCAGTTGCAAACAGATAGGGGCGGAGAATTTCTGAACAAACAATTTGGGACATGGTTGCGAC